GATAGTTGCTGCACTTGCTTGACTAATGCTTCAATTATTTCATCCTTTTTATCAGAGATTACTGTAGCTTCAGGTGTTAGGCACTGTAGTGCTCGCTTGCTTCTACCTTTCTTGCTGCTACATTTGCTTCATTAAGGTTCCCTGGAGAGGTGACTGCCACAAAGGTTGCTGTTTTTCCTTTCAATCCACTTAAAAACATTCGTACAATATATTGGGCAGGTAATGACTCTTCCAGGTCCACCCGACTTAGGAGCTTCTTAAACTTGATAGCGTAGGCGTCCACCTTTTCATTTTTGAGTTGGGCGAGGTTATTTAACTGGATCTGCCACTTATGTTGTTTTTCTGAGGTGGCAAAGTAAGTAACCAACAAGTAGTAAAAACTGCGGTCTTGATTATCCTCGTCTTTCCATTCATCGATGTTTGCTTTGTTATCCTTGTACCATTCCGCTGCCATCCCTTTTAGGTAACCAGAAGCTATCTTGAGTCTTCTTTCGTCTGACTAGTTGTTTGCTTCCGCAGCACGTTCAAAATCGTCAAACAACTCTATTGGGTCATCATCATCATTCCCGCTAAAACTCCTAACCTTCACATGGTTTGTTTCTTTAAGCCCGGACCAATTTCCTTTAACGATGTTCTTGGCTGTGTCTTCGAACGACTTGGTCATGCTTTCTATTAACTCTTTGAGCTGGGCGGCATTCATGGTGGTTGAATTAAACGGTGCAAGAAACCTTTCCAGTGTGTGCTAATATAACTTCTTGGACTTGGGTTTAAGTAAGTTTCTTGTCTATTCAGGTCTGTTTGTGCTAATACAATTTTTCGAATCAGAGGGTTATTATACCGAAGAAACCAGTGAAGAAGACAATGGGTTGTTTTATAATCCCTGGGAAGAAGTAATAAGCCCAGCAATATACCTGACGAATATAGAAGAAGTACCGACTAAGGAAGATACAGAAGCAAACCCTACGATAGAAAAACAGATAGAAAAGTTCCTACAAAATGATGCCCTAGACAAAGAAGAGAAGGAAAGGCAGAAACATTTTTTCAGAAAGAAAGAAACATATTTACCAATAATATGCAGGGTCTCGGGGAAACCACCATAACAAGTCATTGGATCGATACCGGCAGGGCCAAACTGATAAAGCAAAGAGTCTACAGAGCGGCGCCTAACGAACATGAGTTTATAGAAAAGGAACTAAAAGAAATGGAAGAAAGGGGTTTGATTCAGAAGTCCAGTAGCCCATGGGCTTCACCTGTAGTTGTGGTCCCAAAAAAAGGTGGGAAGCTACGTCTCTGTATAGATTATAGGAAGTTAAATGAGATTACGAGACTGGACGCATACCCACTGCCAAGAATAGATGACCTATTAAAGACCTTTAGTACTGCAAGTTGGTTCACTAGTTTAGACCTAAAGAGTGGATACTGGCAAGTGAGAGTCGAAGAAGTAGACAAGGAGAAGATGGCCTTTATAACGCGGAGTGGATTGTACGAGTTTAATGTTATGCCATTTGGCTTGTCGAACACGCCAGCCACCTTCTAGCACCTAATGGACCGTGTCTTGGAGGAGTATATTGGGAAGTTCGTAGTCGTGTATATCGACGATATTAATGTATATTCAAGAACGTTCGACGAACATTTAGGGCATCTAAAGAAAGTATTTGATTAGTTGGCCAAAGCGGAATTAAAAATCAACGTTGAGAAATGCGATTTCTTTAAACCCACTATCCATTTCCTCAGACACATAATTGGAAGGTGCTAGGTAAGAGTATATCTTGAATAGCTAGCTTTACGTCTTCAATTTGGCCTAATGCATGTGTTCTGGTTCCGGTAGCGGTAATTACTACTGTTGATGAAGGTTTGTCTATTTTCAACTTTAACTTGTCTATGAGTTTCTTCGTAATTATGCTCACGGCTGCGCCTGAGTCCAATACTGCTTGGATGGGGTTCCTTTTGATCCTGACATAACAATGAGCAGCCGTGGTTCTAAGGTTATCACTAAAGTTTACTACGTAAGTTTCCTGGGCTCTCTGGACCGTTTGGGTTTCCTGGGGTTCTCGAGCTACAAGGGGTCGGCGTAAGGCTTGAGCCAGGTTCCTTCTTTGGTTCGGGTACTGTAGCATCTGCCCTATCATGGCTTTAACTGGTAAAGATAATATATCATTTACTACATTATATGGGGTCAATTTATCTATCAC